CTTTTTAAATCCCTATAGTAGGGCTTCGGGCCTAAACCCAAAACCGTAAACCCTGAACGGAAGCCTGCTTCTAGGGTTCCGAAGGACCATTCTGTAGAGAAACAATGAGGACTTCTATATTCACAATATAGGGTTTGGGTTTAGGGAAGGGCGTTAAAGAATGATGGCTTTTGGGCAAACGTAGGCCCATGATTAATAAATCCCCTCCTTGTCAGGGTCTTCATATCAGGATCGCTGTTACAATTCCTATTAACGGGAGGGGGGTTACTAATCACGGGTCTGCATTATCTTTAGGAATTGTGCATCATCACTTTGTCTTCTGTTGCGGTCCGGGTAACGATTTTGTTGTGAAAATATCTTCACATTATCCACTGATATGAACTTCGTTATGCATCTGCACATTTTACAAATTAAAATGCATGGCATCCATTCCAAAAGCTGCCATGGGCCTGGGGCCACGGAGTTTCCACGAGCCCTCTGATGATCTCCAGATAGACCAATCGCGGTTTACTTACTGGTGCTTAAGTGAGAGTGCGGGAGTGGATCCCCATAATAATCCCTAGATAACCCCATGTATACCTCTATCATAGTTACTATGTTCCGTCCCCCACTCTACCTTAAGCAACAGTAAGTTTAGGCTTAAGGGTTTAGGGTCAACTCCAAGACCCAAATACTCCTGACACCCTAATCCGAAACCCCCACTTGCAAAGTCAAACCCCTCAGCCCTGAGCGCCAAAAACTCCAACTCCTAAACCCCAAATCCTAAAACCTAAATCCTAAAATCCTAAACCCAGAACCCTGGCCTGTCGAATTGCGTGAAGATCGGCGTCCTCTTTGGGCAGGATGGAGGAGCTAACTGTACTCACTGGTGCTATACATATACACACATAGAGAGAGAGAGAGAGAGAGGTATTCATTTTATTCATGTATCTATTTACGCCCCATTCCCCCTTAAGCACCAGTAACTTGATCTGCATTTAGTGGTACAGGTGATCGGCTTACCCGTTTCAAGGATCTCCGACAAACACCAGCAGCATGAGACACCTTCCCCCTCCTCCAAGGGTTTAGGGCTTAGGATTTGGGGTTTGGGGTTTAGGGTTTGGGGTTTAGGGTTCAGGGTTTGGGGTTTAGAGTTGGGCAACATGGGCGATTCCAAAACAGCGGGTCTCTTCTGGAGGTCTCCTTTAGCAACGACTTTACTCATTGGGGGTACATAAAAGGGCCCGCGATTTCAGAAAATACCACATGTATTTAAATGAAAAATGCACAAAGCAAAGCTCTGAACACTGCAATTCCTAAACCGGAGAGTTATTCAAATTCGCGGAGGTGTTGTTTTCCTCAAGGGGTCCGGTCAGTTCGCTGCAGATGTTCCTATGGGGAGCTCTTGTCTCAAATTACTTAATGGTTTAGGGCTTAGGGTTTTCAGTTAAGAAAACGCACATACAACCAGGGTGTCCACCCGTACGCCCCAAAAGCACTTCGAGTCATATGAGCTGAAATCTAAACTCCTAGTATCCCCTTCCCAGACCCCCTAAAGGATCCAAAAAAAGGAACCCACCCAATATGAACCCATTACTACATTGGGGAAACTATGTTTTGGATCCTTTAAGGGGTCTGGGTTAATAACCTCTCAGAGTAATCCCCTGTATAGTCCTGCGATAACCCCCTTTAAGGAGTTTGGACTGTAGTACATATTGTCATGACCACGGGATATACGTCATCATGTTTTGCCTTGACTTTGATCATGGTGGTTAACTTAACCCTGCGGTTTGTTTCAGAGAGTGTTTTCGGTGCAAGCTGTGTGGCGGTTCCTGAAAGCGTGCCCCATCTGCGACTCTCTAAAAGAGGGATCCTTACCAAGGGGGTACACGGTAAGTGCCCAGAATCTTGAGGCAGTCTGCAAGCCTTTGCATTCCAGGAAGCAGTTGCTGTACTGCAACAATGTGGTTCTGGGAAAGCATCCTTCTGCCAAATTCTGAAGCATAATGGCATCTAAAGCCTAAACCCTTACAACCTTAAACCCTTATTTCAGAACTAACCTTTCTTTTTGTAGAACTGAGTGACTCTTCCCATGTGGCAGTAAGTTGATGAAAAGGTCTAGGGTTTAGAGCAGCTGGAAGGGGGAGGTACCCAACTTAAACTCACAACAAATACCCTAAATCCTAAGCCCTCAGCCCTAAACCCTAAACCGCCATGTGGCTCATGGAAGGGACCTCCAATGTTGAAATCGCTGGGGCCGTCCATATACGTCCGAGCTCAAGAGGTATTCAGCATACCCCGGACACTAAACCCCACCTGAACCCCAAAAGTATGTAGAATAATGGCCTTTTGGGCTATATTAATGGGCTTTGGGCTATTCTCTTACCCACTTTTGGGGTTCAGGTAAACCCTACAAGCCCACCCCACAGGGTCCCGCAAAGTCAGGATCGAAGCGGAACTTTGGAATTTATTTGAGGTGGTTTAGGGTTTAGGGTGCACAGGCTATGTTGAATGTTTCTTGCAGTAGACCAGACCATACCTGGGTCACCAAAGCGGTCGGAATAGCAGTTCTAGATGGTAATATGTATTGCTCAAAAACACCAGCCCCTCAACTCAAACCCCTAAAAACCGTTAACCCTAGACCCGAAACCCAACACTCCTGATATTAAGGCCCAAAAAAAACTCCCAGGCATCAACTCTTAACCCTGAACCCTAAACCCTAAATCCTCGACCCTAAACCCTAAACCCTAAATCCTAAACCCTAAACCCTAAACACGAATTAATTCCTAAACCCTAGATCTCTAAATCCATCCGTGATCCCCTACTCGACCCAGTTGCCACGCCTCCTCCAATCCCAGCTTTTGGCCTTGATTGGGGGCTTCTCAGGCCCTATCAGATGTTGAGGACTTCAGTAGTTAAAGCCATAATGCCATAGTGATATGCGCATATATATATATATGTATGTAGATAGATAGATGGATGGATAGATAGATAGATACATTGATACATGAAGAAATAGGAAACCGTAATCAAGGGCTATTGGATCCCTAATAGAGCGTGTTTTGCCATAATCTATATGAGTTGGAAGGTCTTGGTGGAAGGTGTAGGCATAGGATTTCAGGTGTTAGGGCCCTTAGGTCCCCGCGGAAACATAGAATTGCAGGGGGATCTAGACCGGCCTACAGTTCCTAAATGTCTACAGCAAGCCCCTAATGTCTGCAAACTGTAGGATGCCTTAGGGTATATTGGGACTACCTTACACACCAACCCCCAACCCCAAGCCCAAACCCTAAGCCCTAAACCCTCAACCCTAAGCCCGAAACCCTCAACCCCAAGCCCTAGGCCAGAAACCCCAAACCCTAAGCCCCAACCAAACCCAAAACCCTAAAATCTTGATAAACTGGCGGGTTGAAGGGTTTGGGTTTAGGGTTAAGGGTATCAGCCCTTTAGATCCAAAAGCCCGAAGCAAGTCGTTTTCAGGGTTTTTAGAGGTTGAGGGTGCTGGGGGTTAGGACTTGCATGTGTGGGCTTGAAGGTTCAGGGGTGCGCTCAAGATTTTTGGGTCTTGCATCTCCCTTGGCTTGCGGTTACTTCGATCCCAAAGCCTGCGTGGAGGTTTGTGATACGACTCGGCCCTTTAATCTAGGAAATCCGCCCTCAACCCTACACCCTTAACCCAACACTCCCGCAGGGAATCCGCAATTTGAAATCCTCTCGCTTGGTGCCTGGGTACGTATGTTACGATACACCAAAGTTACCAAAGAATCCTGGATTCTAGAGTGGCGTCATCCGCAGCTCATCCACTTCATATTAGTATTACTACCATTATTTCTTAGTAATATGACCAACATTATTATCAATGTTACCCATATTATTATGCCTGGGTGCCCGGGGACGGGCGAGGGGCCCGGGAGCGATCGGTCCCCAGTGCCAGTGGCCCATTGTCGCCCTGGATGATGTCATTCATTTACGGTGCATAGCTGCCCGGAGATCTGGGTTGCTGTTAATTCAGTCACCATAAGGAAACCCCATAGTTCACTATATTCCCGTGTCATGGCGACTTACTTTAAGTTCCTTAACAGCAAACCTGAAAATTGGCAGGCAATGGCATGAGCCTTAAGGGCGCTCCAGTTCACTCTCTGGTTTGAACTGGCGAATGATGCTCCTAAGTCCTGAGACCCTGAGCCATCAACCCTAGAAGCTAACCTTAAAACTCCACTCCCTACGCCCAACATTTTTGAAAACACCTCAACCCCAAGTACAGAACCCTATTAAACCCTATCTCCGAGACTCTGATCCTGAACTCCCTTAACCCTAATGGTCCAAGGAGCCAAATTATAGGGTTTGAGGGCCCAAGTACCATAATATCACTGGCATTTGGGACCTAAAGCCCTATCATTGGGGCCTTGGACCCTTAGGGCACCCTATATCCAAGACCCTGATCCTGAAGACCATAAACCCGAAACCCTGAGCCCCAAAGACCCTGCCGCTGGGCGCCCCTGACAGCTGACAGCGCGCGCTGCGCCGCATTCATCGCGGAGCCATGCAGCCAAAGCAGCATGACCGGCCTCAGGTTAGGGTTTAGGGTTTAGGGTCACTCCTTAAATGTGGGCTAAATAAGGGATTATATTCGCGTCTAATTTGGGTTTAGGGTGTATACCTTGCACCGAACGAAGCCTTAAACCCTCAACTCCGAAAATCTTTCAGCGCCTGCCCTCATGTCTCCAGAACCTTGTACCGACAGTGCTCTCCCAGACCCACATGCACTGCTCACTTGATTCCACAGGAAAACACGCACACTGGAGATGGGGTTTACCTGTAACCGTAAACCCCATTACCTACAGCTTAATAGGAGTTACCCCCTAATCAGTAGGTGTAACCCATAAAACTGTAGGTAATTGGGGCTACAGGTAGGGTTTAGGGAAGCCCCCCAAACCCTATACCATCGACACAAAAAAATTCAAGCTCTGCAAAACTGGTCAGCTCGATCTTTTTCTTTCAAGCGATCTCCACCTCTGCACCGACCTCCAATGCGCGTTCGGAAGGCAGCGCGCCCTCCCGCAACATTGGCCGGTAGTACCTGCGGATAAGGTGCAGATCCAAGTAATTAGGGGTGGATGGATGCGTTACATTGCATCTAATTTGAAGGTCTAGCGTGCAGGGGCCTGAACCATTCGCGTTGTGGGAACTCCTTAACCCCAACATAGTGTAGTAGCTTCTTTTTGCTCACTATTCCTTTTTATACTCTTACGTATCTCCTTCTGGGGGGAATTCTAGAAGGAAGGGATTACTAGTGGGAGCGGGATAAGTTAGGTTGATATGTCGAGGACACGACTAACATGGAATCGTGAAGATAACTGTCCTGTAAATGGGGCACCGCCCTAAACGATACCAAACCCCGGTGGGACATGCAATCGTAGCCATCCCTCGCTTCGTGAAACCTCTCTTTCGTTTTGCGGGCACACTCTGTACTCGGGATGCGAGCCCCCCTGTCGAGGAAGCTACTTCTCATCTACATGCGCCACAAGGAGCAATTCCCATGCCTTAATATTAAAACCACCCACCGGCCTAATAAGAAATATTCCCATGACGGCATATGGTCAACATGAAACTTTGGGCAAAGGGGACTTTACAAATCAATGGGAAGCGCGTCTTTTCTGGTTGTCATCTTCACCCGAGTAATGTTTGGCTCCTAACAGGTCGGAGCCGTATCTACATTGGGCAAATTGCATTTCTCTAAGTTAACTCACGATCTTCAACAGTTGTGGGTTCCCTGGCAGGCCCGCTATTCTTATTCATCCGAGATTTCACGTTAGTCGGGCTTCTTCACGGCTAGTTGAGGGTCACCTCGGGGGGGGTTGAATCCATACAACCCCTCCAAACCCTAAACCCTAAACCCCCTAAACCCTATAAGCCCTAAACCCTATAGGTCCTAAACCCTATAAGCCCTAAACCCTATAACCCCTAAACCCTATAACCCCAAAACCCTATAACCCCTAAACCTTATAACCCCTGAACCCTATAACCCCCACACCCTTGAGAATCCATAAAACCAACCGCCCAAACCTTAAGGAGCGGCTCCTAGTCGTTTCAGAGTTGAGGGTTTTAGGGTTTAGGGTTTAGGGTCATGGATTATATTGGGGTTATCTTGAATAGGGATTATATAGGGAATATATTGGGGTTATATAGGGATAATGGAAAAGTCAATGGAAACTACCTTCTTGGGTTTAGGGTTTAGGGGTTTATGTAGACCCATAATTACTAAAACCCCTCCGTTGAAGGGCCTAAACATTAGGATCCCTTGTTAAATCCCTACTTTGGGGAGGGGGGTTATCAATCAGGGGTCTGGGTTATAGGGTTTGAGGGTATGGAAGGTCAGCTGCAGGGTTTTCGGAGACCAAGGTAACTTGAATAAGGTGATCCCTAAACCCTAAACCCAAACCCTAAATCCGGTACCGAAGACTTCATATTCTGAAACCCTAAAGCCTAAACCCTAAACCGCCTAAGGCCTATTAAGTTTCGTGCTAATTTGCACCCGTGGAGCCTCAGGGTATGGATGTTGGGTAATGCTTCGGGTTGGGAGTTGGGTTTAGGATTTCACGTTCATGCCCTATGGCTTTGGGTCAAGGGTCTTCGGGTTTCGGCTTCAAGGGTCAGGGTTCATGCCCCAAACCCTAAACCGCGTCGCTTAGGATTCCCAATATACAGTTACTAAGGGGGGTTCAGGCAAAGGGTACTTAACGGTGTAGGGTTTAGGGCTTAGGGTGCGGGATTTCCTTCACCCAGACTAGGCTCCAGTTTGGGACCCCTAGACCCTAAACCGCAGTGAGAAGAGCCATGGTATTCATGTCATGAATATCAATTTCACGTCTGGCCCAGACCTGAAACTTATACTCATGACTACGATGGGCCCTATAGGCAATCCCAAACTAAGGAGGCCTAATAAGGTAAAAAGCCTTGATCTACCGGAGGGGCCAATCGTAGCCCCGTGATACCGTTTATGAATGAAATCCTGCACCACTTTACATCCGCGGATCACCGGAACTGCAGCAGTTTAGGAAACCCTAAACCTTACTTCCTAATCCCCATTCAAACTGTGAAAGGGGCACTGGCCAAACACAGCCTGCCCTCTGTGCTGCACAAGAGCTCCATAGACTGCATTGTCACCTGAGAGACTGCTACAGGCTTAAGGTTCAGGGTTCCGGGGTTTGGGGCAGAACACTAGGGTTTCGGGCTCAGGGTGTAGGGTCAAGATGTGATGTTCAGGATTTCCACTTCGCGCGACGCACATTGTCCTTGAGTATGAGGAGGGGCAGAGGGGTGAGGACACAACTTTGATATAGGAGTCAGAATCCAGAATATTTGATCTCCTCCACAGCTATTGTTGTTTAGGGTTTAGGGTTTCGAGGTTAGGGCTTA